CCATCCCGCCTGCCTGGCCTCCTGCTACCTCTGGGGAAGGCGCCGCGGAGGGGCCGGAGCCGCGTGTACCGCTCCAGGTTGTAGTCCTTGAAGAGGACTTCCCAGAAGTTCCGGACGGCAGCAGCATCTCGGCCCAGCAGCCAGGTGAGCAGCGCATGGAAGGCACGGTGGGAGCCCTCCCGCTCCGTCCGGCTCAGCGTCTCCTACCGGTGCCATCACAGCCTGTCGGTGTTTCACCGGCCAGCCCCACGGTGCTCTCCCACCCTGCAGCCTCACCTTGAAGATGTGTTCGGGAACAACGTCGTGGTCAGCCAAGCCGTGCAGCAGCGGGAAGATGTCGTCCACCGCCATGGCAATCTCGGTGCGGTGCAGCTTCAGCAGGCGCCGCAGGTCCCCCTCGCCGCCCGGCCCTGCCATGCTGCAGGGATGCTGCCGGGGACAAGCAGCCTGCCCCAACACTCTCCTTTAATATGTCCTGGCCACCAACAGTGGAAACCTTATCAGGCTCCCGCAGACCCACTCATTTCTGTATGAGGCCACGTAACCTGAGATAGTTCCTCTGACACTGGCTGTCCCCGTGGCATGGCTGGGCTTGCCCCCATGGCACCACTGCACCCCCAGCACTGGGATTTGGGGTCAGGCTGCTCCCCAGCTCAGGGCATCAAGAGTGGTGTTAGCATGGTGAAGGACAGCCAATGCTGCAATGACCACCCCTGGGTGCTGGCACAGGGGCTTCTGCCTCTCTTGTCCCTGTGGTTGGCCAGGCATTGCCCCAAAATTTCTGGACTTTCCACAGCACCTGCTTCTCTCATCCAGAAACTGAGCCCCAGAGCACGTGGAAAGCAACACCCTGGCAGCAGGGGAAAATGGGAGTATTTGCCCTGGCTACCTGCAAACCACCAACAGGAAAGCACTGACACCAAGTGTGTGATCAGTTACAATTAAGAATGCTGAACAAGCAAACAGCCTGCTTGAAGTGTGTCATCACTGCCTTCCAGCCTGACAGAGCGATGGCAGTGCCACAAACAAGGCCAGGGATTACCTGGGCGGGCGCTGCCTGCAGCTCAAACACCCACTCCAGGAGATTGGGCAATAAGGTGATTTCAGTGGATATACACAGTTTTAAAAAACTTGAAACTGGCGAAAACTGGCTGCAACCAGGTGTCCGGGAAAGAGAAAGCTCCAAAGCTACCATCCCAGCTCCCAGCTGTGGTATCTGTTGGCTCCAAAGCTGTGCCAGAATGAAGCAGCTGCTGTTCAGAAACTCAGGAAGAATAACAAGACAACATCCTCTGTGAGAGCAGGAAATACCCTCATACATATCTGCTTAATAAATTAATGTGTTTACCCATGGAAACACTCACCCTGGAGCTCCTTTCAGCATTTGGGGTGCATTTTCCCATGGAGACACTGGGAGACATGGCATTGGGGTTGGGCAGGCACCCTTCTAGGTTCCAATGCCCCACACAGGGATTTCGGTGCCCAGCTCTGCTGTGGCGGGGATGGCTTTGCCACTGCCTGATGCACCACATTACCTGCCCACGGTACAAAACACGGGTGTCAGTAGAAATGGAAGCTGAAGCTCTCTGCAGTCCAGCCACAGGTGCTGAGCACAAGCCCATCCTGACACATTCTCACAAGTCCCATCAACCGTTCCCAGGAAAACCATTTTCCCCAGGTCCCACCTGCAGGGCCAAAATGTGTCACCATCGCACTGTGTTAAGCTGTCCAGTGCCTCTAGGACAAGACCCTGGAGCTTGCTGCAGGCTGTCCCCTCCCCATGCCCATTGACCCACAATTAGGGCAGCTCCTTTGAGGTCAGGCACTACCCAATGCAGCTGTGGGCTCAGACTTGTGTTAAATTCCAGCCTTGGAATTTAACTTGTGTTAAACAGCACTGGGCTCAGACTTGTGTTAAATTCCAGCCTTGTGACTGTTTCTGTGCTCTGAATCACAGACAGATTGTTTTCCACATCCAGCCCGCTCAGTAGTGTAACGATTTGCATTCTGGGTTTGCTTGGGCGGGGATGGCTTTGCCACTGCCTGATGCACCACATTACCTGCCCACGGTACAAAACACGGGTGTCAGTAGAAATGGAAGCTGAAGCTCTCTGCAGTCCAGCCACAGGTGCTGAGCACAAGCCCATCCTGACACATTCTCACAAGTCCCATCAACCGTTCCCAGGAAAACCATTTTCCCCAGGTCCCACCTGCAGGGCCAAAATGTGTCACCATCGCACTGTGTTAAGCTGTCCAGTGCCTCTAGGACAAGACCCTGGAGCTTGCTGCAGGCTGTCCCCTCCCCATGCCCATTGACCCACAATTAGGGCAGCTCCTTTGAGGTCAGGCACTACCCAATGCAGCTGTGGGCTCAGACTTGTGTTAAATTCCAGCCTTGGAATTTAACTTGTGTTAAACAGCACTGGGCTCAGACTTGTGTTAAATTCCAGCCTTGGAATTTAACTTGTGTTAAACAGCACTGGGCTCAGACTTGTGTTAAATTCCAGCCTTGGAATTTAACTTGTGTTAAACAGCACTGGGCTCAGACTTGTGTTAAATTCCAGCCTTGTGACTGTTTCTGTGCTCTGAATCACAGACAGATTGTTTTCCACATCCAGCCCGCTCAGTAGTGTAACGATTTGCATTCTGGGTTGTTGCTTTTGTGTTCCTTCCCCTTTCTGAAACACTACACAGGAGGCAGAGCAGCAGCTGCCAGGTGCCATGTGAAGAGGCATGTACATCCTGGGGTATTCAGGTGGGTATTTCTAGATGTCCTTGCTTAGAACAGACCTTGGCAGCTGGAAGGTACTTGTAAGGGCCATGAAAAGTCAGCTTTCACTTGTAGAGGGATGTAAAACCCTCCCTGGGGCTGGCACAAGCCCTGCCTGTGAGGGTCCAAAGCTAGGGCACAGAGGAACCTGGCCATGGTTTCAGGATACCCTCTCTTTTCTATCACTCCCTTTGCAGAAATCAGAGGAAAAGGTTCAAGCTAGTCAGCTCAATCTGAGCTGAAATCCGACTCTGAAGGCTGAGGATGTTTCTCCACAAACACCTAGTTAATTCAGCAACATAGTGTCCTGCAAAAATTTTGTAGCCCTTGGAACACACCTTGATTCCCTTCTCCTGTGAAAAGCCACTGAAGCAAATGGGCGTTTTCCATCATTTCTTCCTTTCCCATTTCCCTTCCAGGTCAAGGTCTCATGGTGCAAACCTTTGGTCTCTTGGACACCACCTGCCTGGTGCTCATCTCATTCAACAGGTCCCTGAATCAGTCAGGAGAGAACAGGCAGAAGTGGGGAGCCCTCCCATGGGATCATGCCAGGAAGGCAGGCCCCCTCACTACCCTTGTCTCCGATACCAACCTCGCCATGCCCCAAGCACACCGGGTGGAACGCTGCCACCATGCTGAGAGGTTTCATCCCCCTCCCCTTACCTTTGGCTGCTCCAGCACTGTTGGTACAAAAGGTCTCCAGGTGGGGCCCAAATCCTAGAGTCCCATTTCTAGCAGCTCCCCTCCTGCTGCCCCACGCAGTCGGGCTGAGAGTGGGTCCAGCTGCAGCTTCACAGCTGCTCCTGCAAGAGCCTGGGAGGGAGAGCTGGAGTAGAGAAGGTTTATTTTAGCTTCAGCTTCCTCTTTTCTCCCCCTTTAGAAAAAAGAAACAAAAGCCCAATGGTATGTTATATTAATTTATTTGGGACACACCAAAAAAGGAAAGTCAACAACTGTTAACGTACAAAAGTACAGAATTCTGGGACAAGATTTACTGTCCTGATTAAAAAGGCACCATGGTCCCAAAGAAGAAGTAATCAGAATACATCATTTAGAAATTTCCCCCCCCCCGTTGCAGCAGAAAGAGAGCCAGGCTTTGGCTCTATCCACAGTCAAACCCAGTTTAAAATAAAAATGATTTAAATGCAATAAACACTGCTCAGCCTGTACAGGATCTCATGGAAAGAATCACAGCCTAGAGGATGGTCAGACTTTTTTTCTTCTCCTTTGTCTTTTTTAAAACAGCAAAGGTGACAAATCACTAATAACTGAGGAAGACTGCAGACTTCTGACGTTTTCTGCTCAACTTACTGTAATACACGTCAGTTCAACTGAAACTACCAGGCTGAGCGTGGGGCTTCTGGATGAAATGTAATTCCCTGTGGTGTACAGGAAGTCAGATTTGACAACCTTAAATTCCCTGAATCCCTGAAAAATCATAAAACACTACACAGCTGTGTTCCATATTCGAGTCAACCCTGGTGGATTTGCTTTACACACAAGCATTTATACTGTCAGCTATATTTGTAATACAAAGGGGGTTTTACAGCAGTTATTTTAAAAAACATCTACTTCGGCGAGGTCCGAGCTTGGCTATATTCCCTGCTGAAACAGAGCTGCTGGTGTAAAAGCCCAGTGAGAGGCTCAAGTCCAGCACCTCAGGGCTGGAAGGCAAATAGTTCAAACGTGACATAATCTGCATGGGGAAGTCAGTGAAGCACGTCAGAGAGAGAAGGAGAGGGAGGGCTGCAAACGCTCAAGCAGCAGAGGCTGAAGGGTGCTGCAGAATGTGGGTGCGTGCTATTAAACCTGTAACGACACACTACGGGTGGTGCGGAATACACTGAGTTCACTGCGTATTTTGGAGCAACTTACCGTGAAAGGACTTCTCAGAGACACAGAATAAGGATCCCGGCAATGACTAATGAGCAAGGTCACTGGGAAGCTGATGCATGGCTCAGAGCCGGACGGATCCGTCCTTGGGCGGAGGGATAGAGCAGAGGAATGCTGGAGCCGGCCTGAGCAGTGAGGCCAGGGCTGCCGCCGCCTCCTGTGCTTGCTCGCTCTGCTGCGTCCCAATCGGACCAGCAGCTGATTTGTGTTTCATTCCTCCTTTGGCATAGGACTTCAGCAGTCCAAGAACTGATTCATCAAAAGTAAAGGAACTGTCAAAATTATTCGTACATGCATTTATTGTTAAAGGGAGCAAAAGCCAAAGAATGAAACAGCACGAGTTAATGTCAGTAAAATGATGTGCGGGACGGAGGGGAAAAGAAACGGGGAAAAGCTGAGATACTGGAGTGGGGAAACCAACATTCACACTGAAAGGTAAATTTGAAAACCAGGCAAGTTTGCGCTCTTTTTACCAGAGAACTTCCGTGGACAAATAGAGACTTGGGGTTTTTAGATCTCAGTGTACTCTGGCAAGGATTGGGAATCTCACCAGAGAGATCTCCAGCACTGGGTTTCACTGGAAGTTCCAAGTCTCTCATCTTTAAAAACCAGTACAGCAACTCTAACTAAAAACAGTAAATACCCTCATATTGGGGGCATCTGAGATCACAGACATGTCACTGCTCAGGGTGTAGGTGGACAAGAGGGTTACACTTTGTTCAAACTAACTCTGGGTGGAAAAATACCATTTCCCCCCCGCACTGGTCTGCGCAGACTCAGGGGTGGAAAAGCAAGCCCAGGCTCAGGTGCCTTTTGCTGTAAATACCACAGCTATCCACACCTGGGAAAGGCTTTTTCTTTACCCTATGAAGGCAGGGTAACAGTTTATAAAAATTCTACCCATCTTAAAACTAAATAAAGCAATTTGCATCCTTCTCCCTATATTTACCCCCAACCCCCCCAAGATAAAGCATTACCACTTCATTTAGGATTCACACCTTAGATCCTAGATTAGGGACTTCATGTTAAAACTCATCCAATTACGGGAAGGTTTATCCTGATCAAGGAAACATCATTAAAATAGAATCTAGAATAAAACATTCAGAATCACCAATGCTTTTACAGCCAAAGCACTCAAATGTCTCCCGATCTCTCTTCTCTTCCCCTCCTCAAGTAAGAGAGCAATCCCTTCGCACAACTGCAGGGTTCCTCTCCGGGACTGGGTGATACAAGCTGAAAACCACCTTCCTTCCTCGCAGCAACACCAAATTCTGCTGAAAGGGGCCAAGCACCTTTCACCTCCACTGAAACCAGAACAAGTTAGGGCTTTTCAGCACACACACTTCCTCTTAGCAACAAGTCCAAGTTATTTCCCTGCAGTAAATCCGAGTCCTGTTTCATACTGTTAGGTCACCACTGGCTCAGAAATGGTGAGAGACTTCCAAAAACCCACTGGTGCAGACAGGACCTTGGAAGAAGAGGCTTATACGCTACGTAACCCTAGATCATCTGCTACGTTTGAGCCTTCGCATCATTAACCGCTGGCTACTTATCCTTCCAAATTCATGTGTTTTAGTCCTTGCTGCTGTTGCTGTCATCCCAGCGCTCTTCCCTGGAGGCAGCATGTTCCTGAGCTCTGGCTTGGGGATCTACAACAATCACTTCCAATTGATGGTGGGATTTCAAACTTGCCTAACGTGTGCATTGCCACCTCGTACTCCAGCAGCTCTGCCTGCCGACCGCGGCATGCACTAGCAGTTTTTGACCTTCTCCACAGTCTCGTAGAACCCAGGCCTAACCCTCCTGATGCTCATCCGTATATGCTGGCACTCCAGGGGCATGGCAGTGCTCGCAGGAGTCGTGGTGCACAAGCGCTTCCTTCTGCCCCGCAGTGAAAAAGCTGGAGCCCCGCCGTTCTCCTCCTCGGCCGGGTAGGATTCATCCACACTCGTGCCTTCGTCTGATTGCTCATCACTTTTGTATTTCATTTCCTTCGCTTTGTTTCCTTCCTTCTCCTCCCTGGCGAGTTTTCTGAAGTGCTCCAGACACTGTATCTTCTGTCTTCTGTCCATCATCTTCAATTCTTGCTTGTCTGTGAAATCTTCATAGTACATTTTTCTCTCGCTTCTCTGATCTTCAAGGAATTTCCACTCGATGCTAGTCATTTTTATCCCACTGTACTCCTCCAGTTTATTTCTCGTCTGCGTGTCTGTGCAAAACACGTCAAAGAGCTTCTCAGAACTCTCGTTGAACTTGTCTGCTCGCTCAGTAAAAGCCTGGTTCTGTCTCTGCTTTCTGGTCTGATACAATCGTGTAAACTCCTCGTACATTTTGAGGATAAGTTTCTTTATGTTTTGCGTCGCGATGGTGTGCAAGTTGCAAACCAACCAGTGCTCCTGCAGGTGCTCTGCGAGCAACTGGGCCGCATCCTCTTTGGACCGCTGGGCCTGGCCAGCTCTTTTGGGCTGCAGTAAATACAGCATGTTCTGAACCACATCCTTCTTGGTTGGCAGTATTCCCTGGGTGAAACCCGAAGACTCTACATATTCAACAGTCCCCAGAGTCTTCCGTGCTCTCACCTCGGTATCCAGTGATTCCATCACTGCTCGTTTATATTGTAGTTATGACACAATCTGAAAGAAGAGGGGAGGGGAAAAAAAAGAAAAAAAAGAGCATGTCAAATGACGCTTTTTGGGTTTTTTTCCCCCAGCTATTAATATAAATAAACAGATGAGAAAACACTCAGACCAATAAGATCTGGGAGCTCATGATATACTCCGTTGCTGTTGGATGGCTGCTGTTAGCCCAGCCCATCTAAACATCTGCACGTTGAGACTATCTCTCTCCTCTGTGCGCTCTCACAGCCTAATACGGTGTGTTTGTTTATGCTAATTTGCTTTTAATTGGGTTTTGGACTTCGCATTGTCAATTACAGTAAATCAAGACCGCCTAGGGCACAGGACTTCAGCTCCGGCATGCGAG